AGTTGAAGGATTTCTTCTCACTCCCAATTGATACCATGTAGAAATTGCACTTCGCTGCTGACTGACACTCAGCATCACTTGCTAACGCAAGTCAATAAATTGGTGTTGCTTATATCAATTATCCTTCAACTAATGTGGACAAATAACTATAGAATCCGAAGTTATCGGACAGAAGGTCCTTTGTTATGCTAACCAGTCAGCGTTTCGCAATATGCTCGACTGATTGTGGTATGAGGTTTTCACACGACTGACTGGCTCTTCTAGATGTGTGAGAATGAGGGAGTGAAAGTGTTGTGATATTGTTTTTGGTTAGCGTTGTTAGTGATATGTGACATTGATCGGTGTTTCGATAGGTGTGTTGCGTGTGCACATGTGCTAGCTAGCGTGGCTTCACAGTGAGTGTGAGATTGTTGGCTGAAGTGGGTTGGTTCGGGTGTATGCATGGAGCACAGAGAGTGGGGGTGTAGTTGGAAATTTCGGATGTGGCGAATATGCAGAGACAGACAGACAGAGAGATAGAGAGAAGAGGCAGCTTGATGATGACTAGGAGGAGAGTTGTCAAGATATTAGTGTGATGGAATGGAGGAGATGGTAGGGCGGTTAGGGAAAGGCCGTCAGATTCTTGTTTTCGTATTTTGGGCGACATGTGGTCTATCAAAGCTTGTGCAGGGGACTGCCAATGCTGTCGTTCTCTATCGCGCAGTACGAAGCAGAATCTTAGGAGTTTTGAAGCGTAATAATTACCTTGATAAATTAACGAAAAATTGTGTAGGAAAGTGTGGAAATGTAATTAATAATAGTGACAGTGTTAATAATTCTAATGTCAATGACGACATGCATGTGAAACATGAGCAAGATAGTGACAACACCAACAATAAAGAATCGCAATCATCAGTAGTGATTCCTTGCAAGGAAGGAACTTCGGAAACCTTACGCAGAATTCTTAATAAGGCAGGAATAAAAATGGCATTCAAGCCCACAAACTCAATTAGAAACAAGATTTGTCGGTTAAAGGATCCTGTGGAACCTTTAAAACAAAACCATTTGGTTGATCTAATACCCTGTCTGCAATGATTGTGAGGTCAAATACATAGGTCAAACTAGTAGAACAGGGGCAGTCAGACTAGCCGAGCATAAAAGCCTAGCAAAATCTACACTAGTTGACCAGAATAAGATAAGAAATGTAGAGAATAGTTCAACTATAGCACTACATGCAATTACACTCAACCATACAATAGGATGGGATAGGATGACAGTTTTAAAATCTAATGTCACAGAGTGGAGGAAGAGATTGATAACAGAATCTTTTTATCGAATCAACTGCAAATACGTGTAATAGGAATGATTCAACACCTGTCCCAGACATCTGGAAAATTCTACTACCACCCCTACGACAAATAGGAGAGAATAAAGAAAACTATAAAACTCAAGTTCCGAAGTTGTGTGATTATAATTGATGAAATGATTATGAACAATAAATTTTGTTCGAAACGTCATCCAGTAAATAATACTGTCTCACCACTGTATGATATGTCTTATAAACAAATTAATATGGAATCTACCAGTCAGATGTTGAATAATGCTTATCTGGATGATAAAACACACCACAATAAAAACGGCGTGCTTCACCTAAATAGTAGATAAGAAGGTTGTTATTAGATAGATAGAGACCAATCATTGTACAGTAATCATTGTGAAGAGTTGATCTAAAACAATTCATTTGAGGATAGCCATAATTTGAAGAGGTTAGTTAAAAATAAACACTTATGTGTATTTTTCTTCTACTATGTTTTAGGGGTCAAAATGACATGTGTATTATTCATACATTTGGTAAGTTCTTCGGTTTTGCCAAGTACTTTTTAAAAACACTGCAATATCTAAGGGTTGATCTGTATAATATATGGATGATATTTACATCCACATTTACAGAGGCATAAGAAAAGTGGTTGTAAGTAAAATAAGGGACAGTGAAATCAAAACACAAAATATGAGTAACACACGTGAGCACGTGAATACAAGTTATCAACTAACTAACTAATGGTGAGTTTCAAAAATGAAAACATTTTTAGATGAAAGAAAAACCCGAACTAAAATGAACGTGTTACGCATGTTGTTCTAATGTTTATGTATAAAATATTGTCAAATGTATTGCTTATTTTAAAGTTTCATGTAAATGTGATAATTAAAATCTTCCAATCTATAAAGTACTCTATAACACACATAAGACAAAGATTAATTTTTGCGTATGCAAGCACATCTTGAATGATGTGTAATAAAATAATACAGTACATCAATATTCATGATGATAATTTTAAAGCAAACAGGCATACACATTAGAAAGCATACGCGCTTTCTCGATATACGCGGTAAAAGTCAAAAGAAAATTTAGAAATATTCTCTTTGAATTCATTCAATTACTGTCGTCACCACCACTACTATCTTGTAATGCGTAAATGAAATGTTCAGTGTTTAACAGTGTTTCAGGTAATACTATTATTAAATGAATTCACAGTTGTGCTAACATGAGTTGTAGGCTGTCAGAGTATAGATAAAACAAACAAAACACAACATATGATCACCATTTTTGGCAATTTTAACTGGCTTTTTTAGCTTTTTCAAGGTATTCATGCAATGCTTTCAATGGAACCAGTGAGTTATCGCTCATCATATTATAATCATTAGGATAAGATAAATTCCATAGTGATTTCAATGGAATTGGTTTACCAAGATACAATAAGCGAAACCATAAATTATTCCAATTTTCAGGAGATATATGATCTATTGACGCTAGTGAAGCATCACCAGGACGCAAGATAGGTGATGTCTTTGATAACTGCAATGTCGACGATTCAGTTGTGTATAACTCAAATATTAAATCAGCTGAAAATGGTGGCCAAGATCCATCATATACACTCAAACCAAATAATAATAACATCAGTGAAGAATCATGACATGAATACAGATGGAACTGAGGTAATCTGTTGTAAGTAAAAATAAAATAAAAACACAATAATGTATAATTCGTCTTTATAACAATTTATAATAAGCAGATATGAGACTGCCGACAAAAGTTGTCATCAATGCAAAATAAGTAAATCGGTAATCTTATTAGTGTATTATTTCTTCTTGAAATTAACAGCATATAAGTAAATGTGTAAATATCAGTCAAGAAAACATTTTCAGTGAAGGTTAAAAATGAAGATAACAATCTTTTTTCATAAACACATCCTGTGTTAGCCGCTCTTGAAGTGTTTTCAAAGGCAATGGCTATTCTTGTAACAGATTGTGCCTGACTCTGGGTAACATATTCTTTTTTATTTCTGGCAAAATGTATTAAAATTTTGGGAGTTGTATAAAAATTGGAACTAAAAATAACATATTCCGAAAGTAAATAAGTCGTCGCTGTAAATTTTACGCTGGTATGAGTTAGTGTAGTGGTCTCTAGATTCTATCCACAGGTAATTCATGTATGAAACTATGATATTTACCGTCTTAAAGAATTTCTCATCTGTCTACCCCTTTTGAGTTTTTATTTACTGTTTTCGTTAGTTATAGATAACACTTGTGGTGATTTTACTTTACTTGGGCATGTTGACTGACTTTATTTTCCATTAGAGTCACCTCTATGTTCTTTTCAAATACTATAATTACGCAGACACATACATGTACATCCATAAACATAAGATTAACAAATCAACACAACAGCGGTTCACGAAAGCTTAAAGATAAGGAGGACATTCACGTTGCTTGGATATTAGCAGATAAAAATCAGTATTATTATTGTGAATGAATTTATTTGAACAAGTGTAGATTATGTCAATGGCACAACTGTTGAATTCGGTCTTTATATCTGTTGGACATGTGACATACATAGGTGGAGAAAATCAGAATATTTGCTAATGGCTAGAGTCTTATGAGTGCGTCGGTGGCATAGCGGTTAGGACGCTCGCCGACCATTCACATGGTCCGGGGTTCGATCCCCGGCCGACGGACTCCTTTACCTCGCTAAGCCAGTAATAATGCTGGTCAAGAGGAAAGGTTAGGCATGAGGCTAGCAACCCCATCCTGTAAAATAAACACTGCTACAGAAACTTCAAGACTCTAGCTTGAAGCCCTATGTTCCACTGGGGAACGTGAAGGAAAGAAGAAGAGTCTTATGAAGAGGAGAATTGAGTCATATTTGAGAAACAAACTGAATGGATTCATAACATTTGTGTAAGAATACAATATTAGTAGTACAGTGTTTCAGGAGTGTTAGGAGAGCTTGAAAATTTACTTGTCTCGTGGATATTAGCATAAAGAAATCAGAAGTGTTGTTGGGTATGATACTAATTGAAAACGTACAGCACTGTGTTTCGATGTAATCGGTGTAGCACGCCGAAATGAACACCACCAGTGATCCAAGATACAGGAAACAATCAGGTATCTGAATTGACGTAGCTTCACGAAGACTGAAACTGGATGAGATAGTCGATATTGTGTTGGATCAATAATTCAAAGAGAGCGAGTATTGAATGATCACAAAATTAGCAGAGCAGTACTCGAGGAATGTTGAGAAATCGCGAGAATATTCTCGTGGTATGATATAAATAAGCAACTAACACTCAGAAGGATCTTTACGAAGGAATGGTGAATTACGCAATTACTACGTATGAGACACAGCATCGTGAATTAAATGAGGACGACGCTAGAGCTTTTACAAACACTAGAAAATATTATAAGCGGTTACGGAACTAACCTCTACTCTGGGTATTCTGAAAGTTAATAAGTCGTCCAAATTGTAAATTGCGGCTAGCACGTAAATTCTCTATCACATTATTATACGATGGGAAATCAACACCGATAACGTTATAGTATCATTTTTGAAGTATGACATATTATCATCTGTTTCCATCTACTGCACAAGTTAGTAAAACTTAGTGATCCTGTCTCACGCGAAGTTTTATGTTTATGTATTTGTTTCTCTAAGTAGAACCTAATTAAAACGTTTTATTGCATTTTAGTTTCTATCAAAGTGTACAACTTGAGAATAATATCACTGAAAGAGTAACTTTTCGCTGAACGCCTCTTCTTTTGTATGACTTAATGAGAATTTTTAAAATAAAAATACTTAGCACTAAATCACCTCACAACTATTGATAGACGCCAACTATTTCTTCAAATAAACAAGGTAGAGGACCACATATATTGAGAATTATTATTTATTTCACTAACTAATTACGTGTTAAAAACTCGATATATTATCTTCGTTAACGCTAATGCACTTTAAGTCTAAACACTACGCAGTAATTAAAACTGCAAAAAGGTTTCATAGCTAATGCTCCGTTCACCTTTTAATTAACCTAAAACAATTGTTCCTTTTGAAAGATTTGAATTAGGCATTTGGAAGAAAAAAAATTCTCGAGATGATATCATTTCGCAGTTTCTTTACAATCGCTTTACAACTAGCATGGTTCACAATAATTATAAAGTAAAAGGCATGACAATTACTCAGTTATATAAAATAAAAGTATATACTAATGACCAATCATATTTAAATAGGTCATGTAGTCCATGGTAGGAGAAGGCTGAAGTCCATTTTCGTTTGTACACATAGTTTAGGATGTATATGATGTTCCAAAATGGTTATTAAAACACATAAAAAATTCCAATGCAATTAGTCTGAACATAAATCCATCATCATCCATTCCAAAGCAATAATTAAGGTCAGGTCACAAAATCAATATTAATGACTGTTTCACAATTATTTCACATAGCTCTAATTCAATGTTGGTTATTAAAGGTGATGGAAGCACTTTGGAGGATTATTCACACACATAAACTATGTTTACAAAAAGAACAAACAATAAACTTCAACCTTCGCCTACCATGGACTACTCGATCTATTTAAATATGATTGGTCATTAGTATATACTCTTATTTTATATAACTGAGTAATTGTCATGCATTTTATTTTATTATTATTGTGAACCATGCTAGTTGTAAAGCGATTGTAGAGTAACTGCTAAATGATAACACCTCATAATCATGTGTTCCTTTTTATGGTAATATTAACGTTGTTCTAGTAGAAGATATACACTACATGCACCAAGGCATGTTTATTGGTGGCAGTTTTAAATAGCATTTAGGTATCCACTCTTTGAGTTAAAAATGTTTACAACTGTTTCAGAGATTGCTTTTTTCATAATATAAAATCCATCTAATCGATAAATTTTTATTTTTTTAAATATTTTTCATTACAGCTTGATTCTACACCGTATTTTTTGGTACAGGTATGGAATTTTCAGCATGTGATATCGGTAGCCCAAATTTTGCAGGCCAACCATAGATATCAGGTGTGCGTCGGCAGGGGATCGAACCCTGGACCACCTATTCTAGTTTCATTGTGTTTGAAGAGATTCAATATATTTCAATGCAATCAATTCATCGCCGTATATTACAGTTTTTAAAACACTTTAAATTATATAGTTCACATTACATTGCTACTGTAATATCTTGTCTTAATATGTGACTGACTGGTAAAACAAACAATCAGCGGTCAATTTGTATCTCTGACATGTTAAATTCTTAACAGTATGACAACTTTAAGCCCGTATATTCTATTTTCACAATGTTTTAATGATTTATATCATGTTTTGGATTCAAATTAAATACTCACATGGATTTTTTTGAAAAGAGTTAAATAAATTAAAATATTTTGTCTTTTAGTACTCCCTTCATTTATGACTTTGGGCGTAAACTGATTAACCAGCAAGTAGACTGAAAATAAATGTCAAACAATAGTTAAGCATTCAGAAAACAAAAGGATTGAACGAAGAAATATTTACTTTTCAATTAGATCCTCATCCCTGGGTCTACTCCAATGTCGGTGGCACAGTGGTTAGGACTCTCGCCGACCATGCACATGGTCCGGGGTTCGATACCCTACCGGCGCACACCCGATATCTATGGTCGGCCTGCAAAATTTGGGCCACCGATATCCATGCTGAAAATTCCATACCTGTACCTAAAAATACGGATGTGGCATTAAGCTGCAATCAAAATTATATATATATATAATGTATCAGCAAAGACAGGACTCCAGGTGAACATAGACAAGACAGAGGTTATGAAAATAACCAACCAACAACAACAGCAACATCCAGCGCCAATCACCATCAACGGGAGGGATTTGAAAGAAGTTACTTCATTCACTTTTCTAGGGAGCATTGTCTCAACTACAGGAGGAACGGACGAGGATGTCAAATCGAGAATCGGGAAGGCGAGAAACACATTCATCAACCTGAAACCAATCTGGAAATCTTCGTCACTCAGCATCAACAACAAAATTAGGATTTTCAACACAAACGTCAAGTCAGTTCTTCTATACGGATCAGAAACTTGGCAGGTCACAAAGAATATTTCCAACAGGTTGCAGACCTTTATCAACAGCTGTCTTCGTTCTATACTGAAGATCAGATGGCCGGAAAGAATCACCAACAAGAAACTATGGGAACAAACAAAACAAGAACCAATCGCCCAACGGCAAAGTTAAACTTTCGTCACCAATAACTACCAATCAGCGAACGACCTTGAACGGACCAATCACATGAAAGAGGCGTTTATGATAAGCGGAAACGTATATTAATAGAAAAAGGCATGAAAAAATGATAAAACGGTTACAATGGGTATCTTTCTCAAACATAGGAGAGAAACATTTCCCAATTCAGCATGGGACTGTCAATAGAGAAGTCGCAGCACATTCTATACATATATTCATCTAAATAACTATAAATGAGATCCTTCTGAGATCCATTTATAGCCCTTATTCTATTTTTCAATCGACCTCAAAATCCTTCAATGAAATTTGTATGAGTCCCTGTAACTGGATCCACGAAATCACTGGAGTGGTTCACTCTGTGATGGATGTATCGCAGGGATGACAATGAATCATAGCCTTTCCACTCGTCGGTGTATAAAATTGATCCCGGTTTCACAAGTCGCTTTATAATAGGTACGAGAGTAGTCGCCTTCCTGTCTGCTATTCTTTCAACAAATCCTTTTCGGAGGGACGCGTCGTATATATTAAGGTTAACCTATGACCCAAATGTTGTTCGCTCTCTGATGACCGCGGTTATACTTCTTCATCAACACTGTCTCATCCACATGGACTATTACGTCGTCCCGGCCTAACAACGAAGTAATTCTGTCCATTTTCCATTAGGCGATGTCCCTGCAGTGCTGGTATACCACTGAACTGTTGAGACGGAGGCTGTTCTCCGCCTCGGCAGCAGTACCCAGTAATTGAAAATGTACAAAATATGGGCTAGGGAGAGATGCGACCTAGCAAAAATGTTCCTAAGAAATATTACCCTCTCTAATACTAACTCGCTACCAGCACATTCCACAACGATGTACAAAACCATCAGTTGACCTAGTATAGCTTTTTAGAGTCATTACACCACCACACGAACAGCTTCTCTCCTTTCGAAGCAAACCTAAGTCCAGGCAATACTGGAAGACACTATCCTCCTAGAATTGCAAACGTAACCTTGTAAGGGCACGCATTGAAATGAATCAGGCGCTATACAACATTGAACTACGTTCGTGAATCTGATTGGATAATTCGACGTCACCGCTGATTGGTAGTTATTGGTGTCTAAAGTTTAACTTGGCCCGCCCAACAAATAGGCAGGAGAAAGTGGAGATGGATGGGACACTCGCTGAGGAGGCCGTTGGGTGACATCGCGCGTCATGCCCTCGAGTGGAACTCGAAAGGGAAGCGACGAGTGAGACGTCCAAGGGTGACATGGAGGAGATCGTGTGAACAGGAGTTGAAACAGTATGAACTAACAAGGATGCATGTGAAAAGTACAGCAGAATACAGAAGCAAGTGGAGACGTGCAGTTGAAGCCCTATGTTCCACTAGGAACCCAGGGGAACAATATATATATATATATATATATATATATATATATATATATATTAGAGTAAAGCCAGGGATAAGGATCTAATTGAGAATTAAATATTTCTTCGTTCAATTCTTTTGCTTCCTAAATGTGGATTTTTCTCTATATTCAAATAGTTAAGCAACTGGGATGTAGGTTTGTTTTATGCATGAATAAAAGATATAATACAATGAGTAATGATGTATACAAAACACAGATATATAAAAAAATCTAGAGAATGTCTAAAATTGAACTGTTTTTTGCTACTGTCTTAAATAATCATTATAATATTCCATCATATTTGTGTTTTGAAGAAAAAGATAACATAAAAAGACGTAACATTAAATGTCCGTACTTATTATGCCGTAAGCAATCATATACAGAAACAATTTGAATGCATGACAAGTAGGTGATATATGGGTAATCATTGAAGTTGAAACAAAAGTCTAGTTCGGCAAGAAATTCAAATCAGTAAGTGGTCTCTCACTATCTGGTTCAGTGGTCTACCACAGACGGTTATGATATCCAGCTGGTATTAATTTTGGATTATATCACTGGAGATTTCACTCAGATGGCAAAATGGAACTCACCAACATGATGCAAACGGATTGATGATTTCATTAGGATGACATGTTATGTTAGTTGATAATTAAATATATTAGTTAATTAGTCAGAAATTTATCTGCTAGAGGCTGTAGGAAAGAATGAGATTGGTTGCCTTTAGTAACCCAAGGATAAATGATCAGTTTTCGTGATTTTAAAAATTTTGAGGTTCTATATGAATTTATTTAATGTAACTAGATAATGTTTCGAGCACAACTAACTGCTCATAATAATGCTGCAAACGTCATTTAGTTACTAATACTGTATCTGTATGTCTTTGTTATATCAAATGAATTTATCTAATAACGACCAATTAAAATTATGATATCCGTTAATTAATCACAAGATCACCGAATCAGAAATATTTAAAAACAAACATTCTCTATGAAAACAACACAAGTATTATGAACGAAGTAGTGCTTACTTTTCGTAGTTTATCATATTGGAAAGAATCAGCGAGAATAAATCACCGAACACAATATGAACATTTTTCTCCCAATCTCTGTAGACACAAAGTATAAAAAAATACTGGGTGTAATATATGTGTTGCTAAAAAATATTGCCAGTAAATACACTTTCAAGTGCTGAAAAAGTGCACCTATAGTTTTTAATTTTCGGCTACTTACACTGTGAGAGTTGACAGCTACTCGCAGGGCTAGAAGGAAACAGAAAAATAGTTTTGTGTGGCTACATACATCACACTACATCTGTCTGAAGCAAGCAACATGGAGTTCACTTAAATGAGTTCGTCATTCCTATAATGGATCTGTACCTAAAGAAAGCTAATACCAATGACGAACACCAGTAGGGAACGTTGATGTGTACAACATTGTAGGCTGACCCTTATATCCTCTTCTTCGAAAATTCGGAAGTTGCACAATTGGTTTAGTACACCCTACAGTGGTCACACCCACTTCAGACAATAGTGAGCCTAAACTCTGACACCCCTATCAGCTAATTTATACACCAATAGTAACTATTTCGATATTAATTTTATACATTTTATAGAAGGACATCACAAAACATTATTTCCAATCCATAGAGTACCTTCGATATCTAAGTGACACTTTTCAACCGGGACGGTCACAGGAGTATACTCATTTAAACAATCTGATAATCAGCACGTAATAAAAAGTGGTTTATGATAATGAAAAATAGCAGAGAATCGTATTTTTCATATGCTTTTGCTTGAAAGACAGTCGCTTATTGTACTCATTACCTTTATGTAACTGTACTATTTTTATACTTCGGAAACACAAAGTTATATGTTAAATCACCTCTAAATCAACAATAGAAAAGCCCAAACTCTCTGTCGTGCATAGTGATAGCGAGAGCTGAGATTTATTGGCTAGGTATTTGAATTTCAGTGCGCAACGGTTTTGAGTTCCTATATCAGGAAAAACAACCCGCTCAGAAGAGTAAGCAGTTAGTAAATAAAACGAAACTCTCATGCTAAATCATGCTACTAGCCACCACTTAACAAATCTCAGACTGCAAATTGACAGACTATTGTGAAATTCCTTCCAAGAGTTTTTGTGGTCGACCTATTTGATTCAGGGTAATCAAACTGACTCCGTAGTCGGGCCTGCACATCGCAATGATTCAAAGAGCTATCCTGTTTGGAACAAATGTTCCAGCAGTTCTTACCAGGACAGAAAGGTTGACTGGATAGCCGTTAGACTAAAAGCAATTACCACAATAATTCGAAGCCGCTCATACTATGGTGGAGGTCTAAGGACGGAGTCGTACTGCTGGCGAAAACGGATTTAACAGCGGTAAAGTGTTCCACTCGGATGACCAACAAGCCTATCCACTTTGAGGAGGAGGGTCAGTGGAATATGCCAACATACTTTGCGGCGGACACAACTTTAAAAACCACTTCAAACACGTAATGTATGACTGGTGTGAATCACTTGTCTGTTGAGCTCTGCGGTTATGCAACACTAATGCACCATCTGTATCTGGTATTTCCAGGAGAGATCAGCTTTCACGATATGGGTATTTGGGTGGTTATAATAGCCCACACATTTTCATATGAACGAGCAGTTCACCTAATCCTCACTCACCTTCATCTTCTTGCTTTCTTGTCGCCATTAATACTATTTCACAAGTGGATTTTCAGTTTTCCCTTAACTTTGTCACTATTAATAGCAACCACAGCCAGAAAGACATGACTAATAATCACGCTGCTACTCCTCTACCCAGGCGAGGTTAGGAATGTTGTTAGGAAACGGGGAGAAATCAATTCATGATGTTTTGAAGCTGTATCCATTGAGGCACACGTTAAACATGCCAAGGCATCGACCTTCCACGTCAGGCAATGTTAGCTGACAAGGACTATTTTGGAATAAACAAGGGGTGCTAAAACAAAAATATGACATTCAATCCATAAAGACTCGGACGGTTAGTTTGAGTCGTGCAGGGATGTGTAGACTGCTTGGCTGGGATCCTCGAGACGTCAAGAATCAATGGCTGAAGATTATTGGTGACGCAGCTGGAATTTTTTTCTCAATGGCGCAGATGCATTCACTTTCTCTGTAATCTCGCAGATCTATTAAATTCTCACTATTCTTCATGCATTCATTCTTACTCCTGTATGTTACAGTCCTTTCAGTTTTTTTTTTCGCTTCGTTTAAGTGCTATTAGGTTGTGACAACTTAAACTGATGCGACTTTGTAAAAGAACCTACTCTGAAAACTCAATCAGTCAGTTCGGCAAACTCAATTCAATTAAATGTAGTTTAAGTTTAAGGGTTTAGGATACTAATCATAAAGTGGTGTAGGTCATTGAAGGTGGATGAAAAAAACACAATAAATCAGTAAGCAGAACGAACTGAGAAACTCGGCATAAGTTTGAGGTACTTTTGAAGTTTACAAAAGATAGTGAATAAGAACTGTACATAAGTCCTGTAGTAGCGATCACCTGACCACTCCTTAAAAGATGTAACATTTTTTCATATGTAACAAGAATATATTCTTACAAATTAGGTATTATGCGTAACTTTAGTATGGATTACCATTTGACTTATTCACAATTTATATAACGCTACATGTACAGGTGTAAGCGAATGACCAAAAAGTTGTTAACACAAGCTTTTTAAAGAAACATTAATTACCACACCTATAATTGTAAGTAACGGTAAAATTCATTAATTAGTGGAAATAACGGATGGTTAAAGAACACAAAATTGATTCAAGATGTACTTTATAAATTTAGGAATGCTGATTATTGAACGAAGAATATTCTTCTTCTGTACAGTATTAAAGAAATTTAATATAGCTATAGGATGAGAGCTATATGTTCGGAAGATGTGATTCAGAATGAGATTAAGGCGATATTTGACACCTTAATTGAAAACAGCTATCCCAAAAACTTCATATGAAAACATATAACTACAAAAGTCGAAAGAAGTTTTTTTCATTTATGAACATAAATTATTATTATTGTTCCCTTGGGTTCCTAGTGGAACATAGGGCTTCAACTGCACGTCTCCACTTGCTTCTGTATTCTGCTGTACTTTTCACATGCATCCTTGTTAGTTCATACTGTTTCAACTCCTGTTCACACGATCTCCTCCATGTCACCCTTGGACGTCTCACTCGTCGCTTCCCTTTCGAGTTCCACTCGAGGGCATGACGCGCGATGTCACCCAACGGCCTCCTCAGCGAGTGTCCCATCCATCTCCACTTTCTCCTGCCTATTTGTTGGGCGATTGGTTCTTGTTTTGTTTGTTCCCATAGTTTCTTGTTGGTGATTCTTTCCGGCCATCTGATCTTCAGTATAGAACGAAGACAGCTGTTGATAAAGGTCTGCAACCTGTTGGAAATATTCTTTGTGACCTGCCAAGTTTCTGATCCGTATAGAAGAACTGACTTGACGTTTGTGTTGAAAATCCTAATTTTGTTGTTGATGCTGAGTGACGAAGATTTCCAGATTGGTTTCAGGTTGATGAATGTGTTTCTCGCCTTCCCGATTCTCGATTTGACATCCTCGTCCGTTCCTCCTGTAGTTGAGACAATGCTCCCTAGAAAAGTGAATGAAGTAACTTCTTTCAAATCCCTCCCGTTGATGGTGATTGGCGCTGGATGTTGCTGTTGTTGTTGGTTGGTTATTTTCATAACCTCTGTCTTGTCTATGTTCACCTGGAGTCCTGTCTTTGCTGCTTCTTCGACCAGTTTGTCGGTTTTCGCTTGTGAGACTTCGATTTTGTGTGACATCAAACATAAGTCATCCGCGAAATCCGGGTCTTCTAGGTTCTGCACGTTATGAACATAAAACACTATTCAATATGCGACAATTGATTTATGTAAAATATCCCGTCCTGTTGGAATCAGTTCACTTTTATATTTCTTCTTGATAATTGCACCAGCATAAAATGTTGCCAGCAGAAAAAACCAGTCAGAGTAAAGAAGAGAGTTCCCAAAGTTAACACTGAATTAAAGGATTATAATTTGAATTTACTTATATTGATACAAGAGAGTGACATCTATTGTTGTTGAGGAGAAATCAGAAAGAAAGTTACTATGGTTAAGTTATATCTACCAGCTACGTTAAGATGAGTAGCACAGTAAAAAAGTAAATCCTAGTTTGGGAATCATCGGTAGTACGCGCCGACTGGGTTTTGAACCCAGGGCAAGGCAAACTCATATACTATTTAGTCACTGGGACCCGTTTCCACAGCCAGTAAATGATTTCTTATCCCTACCAATTCGTGATTTTAACGCGACTACCAGCCATTTAATCCTCACAAATCAACTATTGAAAAAAGTAAATTCTAAACAGAGCTATATGCCAAGTATGAAAAATTAGGCTTAGCTAGAGCATTGTAATCAATGAAGGATATTCAATAGGTAGCAGTTACAAATATGAAAGCAGTGTACAATTCTCAGTTACATACACGGTGAACACTTGTCTCATTAAAGCATTTAAGTGAAGAAAGAAATGAGTTACTGTAACTGCGGTGAACAGAGGGAGTCTGTTTGAGACATGTCATCAAACATCTATTTAAAAGTATCAAGATCCCACAGAAGTATATAAAACACTTTAACTCGCCTTCAAAACTTTCTGGCTGTCTAAAGAAAACACCTTAAAGCCATCATACCCTTCTTAGCATCGGTACAAATTCCAAAACAAACCTTCATTACAGAGTAGGTTCTTCACATTATGTCAGTACCTGGTGCTAATAATTTATGTAACGTACGAACTATATGACGGTGCAGCATGTCCTACTGAAAAGAACCTGTAAAAACTATGAGTGCGTGAGGTCTTCTGCAAGAATCTTGCGTAGCGAAGAGACGAATTAAGTAGTGAAAAGAAAACAGTAGTGGAACAACACAGAAATTATCAAATGAACACAAAAGAAATACGATATGAGTAACTCCAAAAACTGAAATTGTAATATAGGGCTGTGTATTTTCCAATAAATGTACATCATTTTGCCCAATCAATGATAGTGTGTTTTACAAATACAACGGAATACTTGATTCGTTCAAAAATGCTAACTTTAACAAATAAGTTTGTTTATTGGATGTATCACACAGTGGTGGGACAGTATTATTTACTGGATGACGTTTCGAACAAAATTTATTGTTCATAATCATTTCATCAATTATAATCACACAACTTCGGAACTTGAGTTTTATAGTTTTCTTTATTCTCTCCTATTTGTCGTAGGGGTGGTAGTAGAATTTTCCAGATGTCTGGGACAGGTGTTGAATCATTCCTATTACACGTATTTGCAGTTGATTCGATAAAAAGATTCTGTTATCAATCTCTTCCTCCACTCTGTGACATTAGATTTTAAAACTGTCATCCTATCCCATCCTATTGTATGGTTGAGTGTAATTGCATGTAGTGCTATAGTTGAACTATTCTCTACATTTCTTATCTTATTCTGGTCAACTAGTGTAGATTTTGCTAGGTTAATGTGCTCCGCTAGTCGCTGTTTGTGGCAGACATATACATCGATTACTGGGAAAACTTAGCGACTGAAACGTTCAACCCCACCTAAAAGTATGGTAGAGGTATGTAGAGGACACATACACTATACTTAAAACACAAGATAAAGGTAAATTTTTCGAACACATTTACTCAAAGGTGAAGGCAATTCAATTCACTGATGAATTGGAAAGTCAGGAAGCGGAACTTACAATGTTAGATTGTAGCATAAAAAGGAAAGAAGATGGGAAGTTAAACACTAAAGTTTACAGGAAACCCACACATTCAAACCGATATTTAGATTTCCGATCATCGCACCCCATGTCAGTAAAAAAAGGATTGGTGAAATGTTTTAGGAACAGGACACAAAAACTAAGTAGTACCAAGGAGAATCTAAGACAGGAGGTTAGTCATATAAGAGAAGCTTTGAAGCGTAATAATTACCTTGATAAATTAATGAAAAATTATGTAGGAAAGTGTGGAAATGTAATTAATAATAGTGACAGTGTTAATAATTCTAATGTCAATGACGACATGCATGTGAAACATGAGCAAGATAGTGACAACACCAACAATAAAGAATCGCAATCATCAGTAGTGATTCCTTGCAAGGAAGGAACTTCGGAAACCTTACGCAGAATTCTTAATAAGGCAGGAATAAAAATGGCATTCAAGCCCACAAACTCAATTAGAAACAAGATTTGTCGGTTAAAGGATCCTGTGGAACCTTTAAAACAAAACCATTTGGTTGATCTAATACCCTGTCTGCAATGATTGTGAGGTCAAATACATAGGTCAAACTAGTAGAACAGGGGCAGTCAGACTAGCCGAGCATAAAAGCCTAGCAAAATCTACACTAGTTGACCAGAATAAGATAAGAAATGTAGAGAATAGTTCAACTATAGCACTACATGCAATTACACTCAACCATACAATAGGATGGGATAGGATGACAGTTTTAAAATCTAATGTCACAGAGTGGAGGAAGAGATTGATAACAGAATCTTTTTATCGAATCAACTGCAAATACGTGTAATAGGAATGATTCAACACCTGTCCCAGACATCTGGAAAATTCTACTACCACCCCTACGACAAATAGGAGAGAATAAAGAAAACTATAAAACTCAAGTTCCGAAGTTGTGTGATTATAATTGATGAAATGATTATGAACAATAAATTTTGTTCGAAACGTCATCCAGTAAATAATACTGTCTCACCACTGTGTGATACATCTAATAAACAAACTTATATGGAGTTGCTTACTACCACAGTGCCCAGGTTTCAAAGATATACTAGCTTCATCAATGTGATGTAGAGGTTGGGCTAGTTTATCATAATGGCATCATCTATCCCCGTGCATGACACAGGTATTAGATTACTTAGTTGTTAGGCCTTCTACGCATGAAAAGGATGAATTCCATACTTGTACTGAAAATACGGTGTGGCATCAAGCTGTAAATAAAAAAAAACTTACTTTCTTTGACCCAAAAGTTCGTGTAATAATTCTTGCGCAGCTAAATTGTCCAACTGTGGTAGAATTTTATCCAATTCTGAAGGAATTGGAAAGCCGGCTTGCTATATTTTTAAGATAAATAATGGAATAATGATCACATATTATTTTTCTGAAAATGGTGCATGTTCTTTTGCGAAATTACATTTCTTGAAGGAATATTATTAAGAAGAGAATTATTTTTTCAAGGTCTTTACACTGATACACATTAGTAGTAGGGGTAGTGATGTGCTCTTTTACTATGTGAGGTTGTTGATTTGGAAACTTGTCATAGTAGTTGGTGATATACTTTCTAAGAGCGCAACATCAACGTTTTTAAACTTCAGCGTATTTGCACTAGGATTCCGAATTATAAGAAACACACCATGAAGTGAATACCATTACTGGTTGAGATGCAAATAAGTCTTACTGAAAACTTCCTAACAGGATGAGACAATGACTATGAATTTTATTTTTACTAAACATAAACCGAATATCGAAATGAAATGTAATGCACTATAATAGTGTCTGTTTAAGCAGCCAATATTAAGGGAGAACAATTAACTGGATTCGATAAAATCAATAGCGAAACACAATAAGTATAAATATAGGTAAAATGTTATTATCCCAATTTAATGTAGGTGGTGTTCATTTGATATATTTTTTACACTTCTCTGTGCACTTCATTTGAGAACAAAATATGTAGAGCATTCTTCTGAAGCTGGCAGAAATTTCATGAATTCACTAAATACTACTACTGTAATAAGCATTTCAATTCCTAAGTGTCTTATAAGAAACACTGATGGCATATAAATGAATATCCACGATTCAGTTGGAATCTCCATAACAAAAGATTGTTATCCGTGCGGCTACATTTATCTTCACTTCTTTGACAGTTTATTTCACTAAATTACTATGCATTCACTATGAACACTAGTACCAATAGGAATGCATGTAAGCCATTAAAATGATGCGTTTTGACAGCGTACTTTTGCATTCTACTATTAAGTAAATTACAACAAAGGGGAACGTCAGAAAACAACAATTATTACACCATTGATGTTTTTATAGAAGTAGCTATAATACGGTGAAGTACACTAGTCAAGTAAACAGCAAGAAAGTATAACGTTTGAGTTACACCTACAGAAATGTGTAATTTTAAGTGTCAATAAACGCTCTCATTCAGGGAACCACGAACAAGCAAAAAGCAATCAATGAACAGTTGTTAGGTTTCGACAGTAACTCAAACCCATCACACAATGCAGTATTTTGTCACAGCGTGCTTGGTGACACAACACGACAGTATAACAAACACAAAATGTAAGTGCATTTATACCTTGCAAACTATCTCCATCTATAGTTCTTAGTTGTCAATACGAACCTAATCAAAGAACTTACACTTGCTGATATAACCAAGATCATTGATAACTTGATTGGCTTAGTGTTATGTTTCTATGGGACTAAGCTTCGCTTTATTCCAACCCAATTAAATCTCAGCAAATATCATACATTGGAATAATGGTGGGTGGGAATTAGTAGACAAGTCTTAACCAACTCACTCAGTGGGTTCCATATTAGATAACTTCACTTGATATAACACGTAGTAATGCAGTACTAATAAATGAATGACATTTTGAGCACAATTTTTTGCTCATAATAATATGAATGTATTGACATGATTCGATAACTTGCTTTAGATAGCCTCGCTTCCTTCTGTTTTGTGTTGCAATTTTCCATAAACTCGGAATAGGTGTCATATCATTTGGATTGCATGTGTTTAGTGTTGATTTGATGAATGAAGATGTGGTGACTTGCCTCTTTCCACCTACCAACATTAATTTACCCTGTCACATCCAGTTGTGTGATTACATACTAGTGAATGCATTGAGATGGCCGGACTTTTTTCCGACAATCTAACTGACCTCACAATTTAGAAAATTATATCATTTTTTAAAATTGGATCTATCGGATCTTTAAGCCGAAAACGTTTATCTCAAAATAAGTTGGTTGATCTGAATGCCACTCTAATTCCAGCCTAATTAAGAATCCAACGCAGATTTCTGAAGCTCCTCCTTTATACGGCAGTACTACACAGGCTTTGAATTCCATGTTAGTGTTCTTGTCTTCATTATTTACATAATTAGGCACAACGGTAGAATGATCACCAACCATGCAGGTGGTTCTGGGTTTGATCCCCGGCCGACGCACTCTTTTACCTCGCTAAGCCAGTATTAAGACTGGTAAAAAGGGAAGGTTGGGCATGAGGCTAGTAACCCCATTCAATAAAAATAAACACCACTGCTACCGGAACTTAGAAGCTCTAGCCTGAAGCCCTATGTTCTACTGGGAACGAAAAGGGATAAAATAAAAATAAATAACCTTTCTTATTTTTTCCTAATTTTCATATTATACAAGAAGGTAGTCTGGAATGTCACCGATCTATAATGGACCTAAAATTGATACTAAATTTTTAGATAGTTCACATGTCGGGTGTTCCTTAAGTCAATTGCTGGCCAGTTAGGGTATCCTTATTTTTATAAATTTAATACTGTCAGCATTCTACTACATGTATTAGTTTTAGGCTTTAAGTTAATCCATGGTGTGTTAATTTTCTTCTGATGTTAATCAATGCACACTTTCACCAAGTTACTGAGGTGACCTATGTACTCAATCACGCTACTTCCTATATACAAATGGTGTATTAAATACAAACCAGTCCGTTTAGGAAAGAAGAAACGCATCTGAAATTCTCAGACTGTCCCGTAGCAGTTAAAATACTCTCTATTTAACTTATTTCTTTGTCTCAAATGACTGTATCTTTTTCATATTCTAAAAAAGTTAACTAAGGCAAATTCCACCGAGATAATAATCTCTGGGAAGAAACATCATGAGAACAAGTGCTCTATTCTGAAATTAGTGGATACACTGCGATGAGATTTAGGTTATGACTGGTAAGACTGGACAGTTTTCCCCGGTATTATTTCACTTGTTCCACTTGTCATTCTAAATCAATTCCTTTTTACAACATTAAATTCTATGCTATTAAATTTCACACAATATTACGTAACGTTTTTATTTTATTCGATTTGTCTACTAATCTTATAACTGCACACCCTTTTTCAAGTTCTATCCATCCTATGAATTATTCTATACATGACATTAATTTGCTTTGCCACTTGACATTTAACTACGATTATAATCACTAACATTTTAGTTTTAATTGCATTTCATATTATTATTTTATGCATTCACACCTATGTTTCAATTCCCTTACCGGATATAACTTCTTAAAAACGATATATATACGATTGTACAGCTTGATGATAAATTCGTTGAAAAGAGTCTCTTCGCTGAATCATTTGTTTTGATTTTCTATATGTTACAATGGGAATTTTCCATGATTTAAAACAATTTTAAATTTTTACTTACAACTAAATAACTATATTGAGGTATAATTTTGGTCTGCTAAGATTCGCGTGAATCTATGACAGCCAAAACATAACACAATATGGTATTTTCATTCAAGAACATAAAATAATTTTCGTCTCCTGTAAAAAATTGTCCACCAGAAAAAATTTGGCTGGTGCAGATGGAAATTCACTACGATGGTTCAACTCCACCAAGGTTGCAAGTACGCTTTGCTAACAAGTTCCAACAAACATGAAAAACCATACGAAACAGTGCTTTCCATAGACCACCTTCAACTGGATAAGATTAATTTTTAAGAATTAGTTTTTAGGGATATTATCTGTTTCAGGTTAGACCACTGATTGATATCAATTAGAGAACCATTGGAAACCAGGGAGTATTGGACAGATGTTTCCTTCTAGTTTGGGATTCATCGCCAGTACGCACCCGTCGGGTTTCGAACCCACCACCTTCCGGTTACAAGGCAAGCTCAGCTACTGAGACCCGATTCAATGGCCAGCCCATGAATTCTAACTTCTAACAATTCGTGATTTTAACACGACTACTAACCAATGTCATCGGGGGTAGGGGGGGGAAATCCATCCTCACTCCCGACTGGATGAAACAGCTATCCAGTACTCCCTGGTTTTCAATGGTTTTGTAAATGATATCAATCCGTGATCTAACCTGGGTAAGATTAATTTGTATTTAATTAAAGAAGTAATGTTTACATGATTAACTAGCTATATTTGCATGTAACTCATTTACTCCGGTTAATTTTTACCTTACACGGGGACGGAATAATACTACTGCTGACAAATATCTCCATTATCTTAAAGATGACAAAGGGTAAATACACCTGCATAATTGTAACCTATTTTGGACCATGTCAATGAGGTCAGCAATACAGTGATTTTTAAATGTTGACATCCTACATTTTTCTATAGAACTGAGATTGATATTTATTGACTTCAATTTGTAAAGTGAAAACAATTCATGTGCACTTTGATTGATTTAAAACTAGTGGAGCAGATATTCCAGCTACTCGCATCAACCACACTTGTGTTCGCCAACCAGAAAGACGGTTTTCCCGATCTGGCTGGCTGGCTGGATTCAACATAGAACTTGGCACCGAAGTGCAGCAGTTCGAGTTGCCACGTTCCAAATACCACACAAAGGTAGACAAGAAAATGAGTGAAGAGAATCAATAGAGTTTTGACAAGTATAAGAGTGAAACAGAATGAGTAATGGTAGAAAGGAATATGAAAGATTACAGAGACTGAATACATCTGCGCCACTGACAACGATTTTGAGCCATGTCACCTATTGTCTCCAGCCATTGATTCTTAGAGTCCCGAGGGCCCCAACCCGGAAGTCTGCATCTCCCTACCTGACTCAGTTTAACTGTTAGGGATTTCATGGATTGATGCCATGTTTTTGTTTGGTCACCACTTACTCTTTTCCAACCTGCACCTATGTCAGCTAGTAATGCCCGTCGGGGGAGGCGATGGTTAGGCATGCGCAGCACGTGACCTAGCCATCTCAATCTATGTAACTTTATAGCCTCTTCGATTGATTTTCCCTCTTTGCCCAACACTCTACGCCTAACATCAACATTACTTACCTTATTATGCCACCTAACGCGAGAAAGAGATCGTAAACATCTATGATCAAAAACAGACAACCTTTTCATGTCTTCAACTCGTATTGGCCATGTTTCAGAGCCATAGAGAAGGACGGAGCGAACTGCTGAGCAGTACACATGTCCCTTGGTTGATAGCCGGATGTCACGCCTACACCAGAGACGGTGTAAGTTAGCGAAAGCAGCCCGAACTTTTTGGATCCGTGCTGAGATTTCGTCACCAATCAATCCGTTGGTGCTGATACAAGTTCCCAAATAGGTGAAGTGGTCAACATGTTCTATCACTTCACTCCCTATCACTAAGCTAGGAGTTGACGTAGTCCAGTCCTGTAGCAGCATCTTACATTTTACAGGGGCGAATCGCATGTCAAACATACGAATATTGCTGCTCAAGGTGTTCAGAAGACTCTGCATTTTGTCAGCATCCTCCCCTAACAGGACTATGTCATCTGCATATTCTAAGTCCATAAGACTATTCCCTGGTAACAAGTCGATTCCTAAGTCGTTAAGTTCAGTTAAGGATATTTTCATTAGCATATCTATGATGAAGTTAAACAGAAAAGGGGAAAGTGGACATCCTTGACGGACACCACTGGTTGTTATCAATTCAGATGACAATTCCCCATAAGCCCTTATACGGCTACGTGAGTTTGAGTAGAGTGCCTGGATTAGTGCAATGTACTTTCTTGGCACTCCCTTCACAGTCAAACATTGCCATAGTACCTCTCGATCCACGGAGTCGAAGGCCGCCTTCAAGTCAGGAAATATGGCGATTGTTGGACGCCTAAAAGTGTGTCTATGTTCTAGGATCTGTCGGACAGTGAAGATATGATTTATGCACCCTCTACCTGGCCTAGGCCCGCTTAATTTTCCCGCGTTTGTTCCTCCCGAGTTCGGCTTAGTCTGTGCACGATTACTGAGCCTAGGATTTTAGAGACTATGTTCGTCAGGCTGATTCCTCTATGACTATCACATGAGGACTTGTCTCTCTTCTTGAATATATTGGTATAATAAGTGACTTACCCCAATCTGATGGAACCGTCTCTGATTCCCAGACGTTACCTAGTACCTTAGTTAAATTATTTACTAGTATGTCACCCCCATATTTAAACACCTCAAGAATAATTCCGTCGGGTCCTGCCACTTTGCCTCGTTTCAGAATACAGACAGCTTTTGTGACCTCACTTCCAGACGGCGGGCCAGTGTCTCTATCCCATTCAGGTGTGTGCCGGATGGCAGGGAGGCTCAGTGTGGCTGTAGGCAAGTTGAATTGTTCCTCAAAGTGTTCTTTCCAGGGTTCAAGGGGTCCATCCTGAGAGCTAATTATGGTGCCATTTTTCTCAGAGACTGTTTCGCTTATCATTTGCCCTTTACCACCTGTTTCCCTGATAAGCCTGAATAGCTGTCTGGTGTTGCCTATCGCCGATGCTTTTTCCATCTCTTTCGCCTTTGTCAACCACCTCTGTTCACGGTCCTTGCGGAGACTTTTCGTAAGTTTCTTTTTGTGCAGCTTTCGCTCCTCATTGAATTCGGAGCTCGCCGGAATAAGTCTTCTAGCATCTATCAGTTCGGATGAGGCAGTCGAAATCCAATGGTTTTTACTCACCTTTGGATTTACCTTATTCACAGCTTTTACAGCTGTGTCTATGGCTGACTGAATATTCTTCCAGGCTTCTTCAGGGTGAGCGCAGCTGTCGAACTCAGATATGTGTTTAGCTAGTTCTTCCTCAAATAGGGACTTAGTTTCCTGATCGAGCTGGGGACGTGATGGGTTTACCGCCAGCTGTTTCCTACGTCCGTTCAGTCGTAAGCACACACGAGCGCGGACCAGTGCGTGATCGGTATCTACACACGTGTTCCAGAAGGAGCGACAATCTCCTACCGACCCACGCCAACGACAGCTTATTGCTATGTGGTCTATTTGTGTCCAGTGTTGGTTTGATGATGGGGGTCGCCAGGTCAAACAGTGTCTCTCCTTGTGTTTGAATTTAGTGCTTACAAGAAACAAATGATTATCTGAACAGAACTGTAGGAGACGGTCACCGTTGTCGGTTCGCTGGCACGGAATTCCGGATGTGCCACCGACATTCTTCTCAGATTGACACAATTTCCCTACTTGAGCATTAAAGTCACCAGCTAAAACGACTATATCTGAGCGTTTAGCCTTTCGCAGCAAACTAGACAGCTTTTGGTAGAACTCATCCTTCGTTTCATCCGAGCTGCAGTCAGTGGGGGCGTAGGCGGAGATTACGAAAAGGCATCGGCGGTTAGTGCAGTCCTTTTTCCTTTTCACTGATCCGTTCAGACGGACAGCACACATTCGGCTATCTACCGGGATCCAGTCAAGTAATGTCTTTTCTGCTCTAGTACTTAAGGCTATCCCAACACCAGCTAATCCTCGTGAGCTAGCCGTCGCATCTCCTGACACCCTCAAGGTGAATTTTGCAGATTCATCCTGTTGGCCAGGTGGAGTTAGGTGAATAACCACACTTGGGTCTTGTATGCGTGTTTCTGAAACACAACATACATCAATGGCTCGGGATGCCAGAGTCTTGGCTAGTGATGTTTGTTGTCCTATTTGGCAAAGTGTCCTAACATTAAATGCTCCTATATGAAATTGGTGGCGTGGCTTTAGGAGACTATCGATGGTGGTTTTTTGGCTTCCATCGTTTTCAGTGCACACAGAGTGAAGAGGAAGTGAAGAGCCAACAAGTAGAGGAGTTGCATTAGTAGAAGGAAGGCAATGTAGCGTGATAGACCCAGCACAGAAAGCCAAATCAACTCATATCGTCTAAATTCTGGTTGGCTATTCATAACAATCACTAATATGTACGACTTGATATGACTCAAGGTATCCAGAACGTTATATATATTGGTATGTTAATATCTTAAATTTTCCACAGGAAACTGTGGTGAAATTTCATTTGAAACTATTTACTCTGTAAATAACTGACTGCATTCTTAAACAGATGTTATCCATTGATATGGAATCACAATTTCGATCTATATCATAGTAACTGGCTGTATTCATTTGGACAGCGATTCAGGCGGTTATAACACTGGAAAAAGCATAAAACGCTAACGAAATTCCTGATATATTGAAAATATACAGGTGAATAATAGGAAAACATACAATCAAGGTAAACACAAAGTTCAAAAAATAAATACATTGTGTTCAATTTCTATTCAAAACTAATATGCACTCACATGAATGGCTCGAAACAGCAATTGACCAGAAACTTTATAGACTACTGTTACGTCCTGATTTGTTCACCCTTAGTTATACTGAAGTCCATAAACACACACACACACACACGAGAGGTGAAATATTGTGACTATCATTCTATTGGCTTAATTTATTGAATCATTGCAGCATTCCATTAATTAGCCTTAATAACGATATCTATTATGATGTTGGAACTTATTCTGAGCAAAACGTCAGTTCAGAAAATAACTTAATCCGAGCGTAGATACACTGAGGCGCTACACATCAATGAACATTAATTCCTTTTTTTAATTGTATATGTAGGTAAACATTTTTTTATTACTTATCGCAAAGTTTCCTGAAAAATACTTCTGTATACACATACATTCAATGGGTCTGTTGAAATTACAATTAGGCTATCTCAAACTTTGACATTCACGCACACAGTATGTTACTAATGACATCATATATTTCTGTCCTGAACGTAAGCGTTGAATGATAAAAATGTTGTGCAACATGAGTAGACAAAATGAAACTAAAGCCTACCTTGACTATAAGTGGTAATATTCAGTAAAACAAAGACGTCATCAAAAACAGGAATTCAACTAAAATAGTGTGAAATGAATCCATCAATCGACTTTCATTATCATAAACAAGTTCTCAAACAGAAGTTCCGATTACTAGAAACAAAGAAATCTCTACTAGTTAGTGAATTATTCAATTACAGCTATTAATATAAAAACTGAACTATGCAGTTATCTACTGGTTTATTAATTTTTAATGCTTCTCTCGAAAATAAATAACAAATGAATCAAACAAACCAGCATGTGATGAGACTTTAAGTAGATAAGAGAAATTTGATTAGTTAATTTTTTTAATTTAGATAGAAGCTAGTTTACACTTACCTTGCGAGCTAAGTAGTCATCTCTTACAAAATAAATTGGACAATCACAACTCGTAGACCGCTGTTCAACACAATCCAAAAGCCGTTCAACGCCTACGCAAAGAAAATGAAGCAATACACACATAAACATGTACAAGAAAAGAAAGATCATATTACCATCTCCATAATAGATTAGAAATAATAAATCATCGCACTTACGCAAATACAAATATAGATATTTTAGATTCCAATACGCGTGAATACAGATTATATGATATTTTACTGAGTTGGAAAAAACGCGTGGTAAATTCATCAGTAGTTATCGCATAGGAAAGCTTTTCTAGTACGACTGACTGACTGGTTTCAACATATAACTTTGCACCGATGTGTAGCAGTTCGAGTCGCCACACTCCATGTAGCACACACAGCAAGAGAAGAAAGTAAAAGTAAATGCAAAATAGAGACAGTAAACAGAAATATGAGACAAAAAGAATAGTAATATCGAAGTACAATGTAGTTTTATTGGTTATTATAAGTCACAAGGAGTGGATGAATCTGCACCAATGAGAACAACTTTCAACTATATCACCAATTGCCTCCACCCATTGGTGTTTACCGTCCCGAGTACTCAACCAGGAAGTCTACATCTTCCTACGTGGCTTAAACTAACTGTTGTGGATTTCATTGACTGATGTCATTTTTTGGTTTGACCACCACTGGCTATTTTAAAACTTGACCCTATGTCAGCTAACATTGCCCATCGAGGAAGACGATGGCTCTGGTATAAAGTTAACAAGACATTTACAACATAAAGCAACCACAGTATTACATTATTAACATATTAAAAGTGAAGTAATTTAATTTACACTGAAGCATTATGGATAAGTCATATAGTATTACACAGTAACATTTACTGATGACCTTTTGAGCACAATTTATTGCTCATATTACTATTATTGTCTCCTTTAGTTCCTGGAGGAACATAGGGTTTCAGCCGCATATTTCCACTGCGTTCGGTTCTCCGCCAACGTTTCCATTTGGCTTCATGCCTGCCCAAATGCTTTCATTTCCTCTTCACATGACCTCCTTCATATTACCCTCCGACGAGCAGCTCGCCGCTTCCCAATCGGGTTCCACTCGACAGTCGGGTGTGATATCACTTGATGGTTTTCTCAGGGCATGGCCAATTCATAATCATATCAAAATTGTGCTCGAAATGCCATCAGTAAATATTACTGTATAAAACTGTGTGACTTTATCAAAATAATTTTTTTATCCATAATGGAATTATACTCTATCACAATGTCCAAGTTTTATCCTTATATCAATTACACTTAACCAGTTGCGTTTTTTCATAAGTATTATGCGTTGTTTGCAGTCTATATTTTGCGTGTATTTCGGTTATAATTACTTACGAGGGATAATACTTAGGCAGCAAAGTTGACATTGAGGAATAATTAGGAAAAAAAGCTCATGATCAATAAACATCGAAGTTTAATAACAAGTAATAATTGTAACACAATTGTCTGAAAAAGCATTTTTATACACTAAGCAATGTGTGTCATACTATGAATATGTGGGCGTTAACAATACAAGTTTGTGGAGATGAATTCGAAACAAAGGCCTATCGGTTAAATGCAGTAAATTTGCAAGCTCAGATCACCAGCTGGATGACCTGTTGACATCACTTTAGCTACTTAGTATTATGATTATTTGAAAACGAAAAAGGCAGCTTGTGCAGTCTATCTATTTAGACCGATAATAATAAGGACTAATAAACACCAATTACCATTGCACAAAACCTCTAGATTCAATACATAAAAGAAGCCCTTACTTCATGCATATGTAATCGTCTAAATTCATTGAAGCTCATATGTAGGTAAATGAATACACAGAAATAAGACATTAAATCACAGAGAAATGATAACTACGTAGTTCAGGGAGTGAATACATCTAAGTCATTATGATCAATCAAAAGTAAAAGCAACAACAGGCATATGGTTTGCCAAAACAGTTAGTTGTACTTAAAAAAGAAACTAAGTATTTGAATAGGATCAACTTTTTGAGAACAAAGAAGATATTTTCAAGGATACCATTTAGAAATATAACTAACTAGCACAGAATATAGTAATCAATGTGTTACAACATTAAGATGAAGTAGGTGTATTAAAAGGTGATATGAATGATTTGGAATCCCTCATTTTTGTTTCACTGACAGCTTCATTATAATTGCTGACATTAACATCATTAACGTCATGAGGAAGTTGAGATGTTAATATAGCGAAAATATTCATTTAAACATGTATAAAAAACAACAACTTTTCAATCTAATGTCCCGATGGGTATTTGGAAAACAAAATAATTGAGTAAAGAATATCCTTTTCGATAATTTTCTCTTCTGACTCTACAATTATATAGATGCTTATTATCATTATATTATTATTGTTTCCTTTAATTCCTAGAGGAACATAGGGCTTTACCCGCAAGTCTCTATTGCGTTCGGTTCTCTGCTAGAGTCTTCACCTGGCTCCAAGTCTGCCCACACGTTTTCATCTTCTCTTCACATGACCTCCTCCAAGTCACCAATGGACGACCAACTCGCCGCTTCCCTTTCGGGTTCCATTCAAGGGCTTGTCTAGTGATGTCACTTGATGGTTTCCTAAGAGTATGGCCAATCCATCTCCATTTCTTCCTGCCTATTTGTTTCACAATCGGTTCCTGGTTGGTTCGTTCCCAAAGATCCCTGTTGCTGATCTTTTCTGGCCATCTGATCTTGAGTATTGAGCGAAGACAACTGTTAATGAAGGTCTGTAGTTTGTTTGAGATGCTCTTTATGACGCGCCAAGTCTCTGATCCGTATAGTAGCACTGACTTTACATTGGAGTTGAAAATTCGGATCTTATTTTTGATGCTGAGTGTTGTTGACCTCCACACAGACTTGAGAGTAGTGAAAGCTTGTCTTGCTTTTCCGATTCTTGCTTTGATATCCTCGTCAGTTCCGCCTGTAGTTGAAACGATGCTTCCAAGGTAGGTAAAGGAGGTTGTTTCTTTCAGGTTCCTACCATTTATGCTGATTGTTGTCAGTTGTTGTTGTTGCTGTTGGTGGTGTTGCCCAGGAATTTTCATCACCTCTGTTTTATCTATGTTCACCTGAAGTCCTATCTTTGGTGCTTCTTCTGCTAACTTGTTGCTTTTCGCCTGCATATCTTCCAGCTTGTGGGAAATCAGGTATATATCATCGGCGAAGTCCAGATCCTCCAAATTTTTGTGTGTGTCCATTTTATGCCTGTTTCCTCATTGCCCACTGTTTGTCGCATTATCCAGTCTACTGCAATCAAGAAAATCATTGGCGATAGTAGGCAGCCTTGTCTTACTCTTGTCCTCACTTCGAAGGGTTCCGTAAGTTTCCCATTGTGGATTACTTGGCATGCAGCATTGTCGTATAGCTGTTGGATGAGATGTATTATTGTCGGTGGCACCCCGTAGTAGCGAAGTAGTTTCCAAATCACCTCTCGATCGACGCAGTCAAAGGCCTTTTCAAAGTCGATGAAGTTGAAATAGAGAGGTGTATTATTGATCAAATACAATCAAATGGGAAATAAGGCGAGTGTTTTTATAGTTAAAATAAGTAACTTGTTAAAATGTTATGATGTACGTGAATTGAAATAGAATTTTAAGATTATTTATTATCCTCCTCTGATTTGACTGACTGGTGCTAAAAATATCTTCTATATCTCTGGTATTCGCATTGAGTCATTTCTGCTGCATGTGTTGGGTGTAGACTCAATGAACCAGGATTCAGTAATCAATCTCTCTCTCCACCTACATAGATTACTTCTTAGAATCTTAACCCTTTGCTACCCTATTGTGTGTTAATGCATACAGTGCAATTGCTGAGCTTTTTTCTAAATTACTTATCTTCTCGGGGTCAACCATTCTTACCTTAGCCAAATTCTTATATTCCGCCAATCTGATTACCCCCGATCTACTAGTTTGACCTATATAGTTGACCTCACAGTCATTGCAGGGTATTTTGTAAATTATGTTATTTTGTTTAATTGGGTACACCGGGTCTTTAAGCCTACACAGTTTGTCTCTGAGCGAGTTTGTAGGTTTCAATGCCACCCTGATTCCTGCTTTATTAAGAATCCTACGTAGGGTCTCAGGTGTCCCCTCCTTATATGGTATAACAGTAGATAACTTGTATTCTTTCTTACTTATGTTATCACTACTAGTTTCACAATTATTTTTATTTTGCTTTTGGCCTTTCTCGATCTTCCTAATGAATTTTATAGGATAGTTATTTAACACCAACGCCTCTTCTATCTGTTTTATTTCATCATTTAGGTCTTTTTTTGTGCTACTTAGTGCTACTCCTTGGTTTGTTGAACACTTAACTGAGCCTGCCTTAACAGCTAACGGATGAGATGAATTAAAGTTTAAATATCTATTAGAATGCGTTGGTTTTTTATAAACGCTAATATGTAGTTTACCTTCTTCTATTCGTTTTATTTTACAATCTAACATAGCTGATTCTCCTTGTTTATTTTCCGATTCAAATGTGAATTTTATCCCCTCTACTAGTGAGTTTATATATGTCAAGAAGCTAGAGATATATTCCGTTTTTAACACTGTGAAGAATTTATGTAGAGACTTGTCAACAATAGGCAACTTTTTGTTGTTGACGTCACACTAAAATCATACAGGTTAGTTATGAAACCGTCAACCCATTTCATGTGAATCCTGCAGTGATGATACAAGTTTTCAACTTAATACAATACTTCTGTATACATCTTAAATTAGAACATTTCTGAATATATAGATCTACAAATCATTCTATTTTTAGGCAGTTTAGTACTTTACTTTCCGCAATAAAAAATGCATCACATTTATGGGATAGGAAAAGTGCAAACACATTTTAACCATGATATTGAAAACAAATTAACTATTGACCATGCTTAATTTTAGCCATTAAGAAAAACCAAGATTGAATAACAAACAAAGTACTGTGACACCTTCCCTCTAAACAACAACTACTGAAGGAATCTGACCTTTGAGAAAAGGAATAATTAGTAAAAATTGACTCTGAAAAGACTCTTTTGTATGACTGGTAGTAACCAACGTAGTTGTTCTGAGTGTGTTGACGGAAATCTACGGGTCAAGTATACAATCTAGTCACTGCAAAGTGAGCTGACATTGAGGAACTATATAAAAAACTTTAGTGCTAGGTGTATTTATAACTATAACTGCTTGGGATTCTTTGCCTATTAGTATCGTTTAGTCTGTGTCAAATGTCTGAAACTCACATGTTCGTAGTAATTTATTACTATCTTAAAATAGGAAGAAATGTGCTTGATTCTATAGCTTACGGCTATATAGAAGGAAAAGTCACAACAAAAAACTGAAGAGATTGTACATTATGTTCGTGTATGAACTTTAAGCTGCAAAGCTCTGCCATTTTAATACTACAATAGTAATTAGACTTAGATACGCCATATTGGCTTGCGCATTAGTGCTATGCGCCATGCTCTGTCGAAGTGTATAATACTGATCGATAAAATGAAGCAAATGTAATGCGAAATAAGGGACCACAAGTACAATGTCAGGCTCTAACAAAACCAGTTAAATCTTCACAAAACGTGTGATGGTTGGAAAAGTGTTTCTCTCTAATAGGATGGTAGAATAACAGTACAATTCTATGATTCGATACGACTTAAGGTATTAAGGAGCGAACCAACCAGGAACCGATTGTGAAACAAATAGGCAGGAAGAAATGGAGATGGATTGGCCATACTCTTAGGAAACCATCAAGTGACATTACTAGACAAGCCCTTGAATGGAACCCGAAAGGGAAGCGGCGAGTTGGTCGTCCATTGGTGACTTGGAGGAGGTCATGTGAAGAGAAGATGAAAACGTGTGGGCAGACTTGGAGCCAGGTGAAGACTCTAGCAGAGAACCGAACGCAATAGAGACTTGCGGGTAAAGCCCTATGTTCCTCTAGGAATTAAAGGAAACAATAATAATAATAATAAGGTATTAAGTTATGAACAACACTTGATGTATATTATTATCAGATTTTTCAAAAAGAAGTGAAGATGAGTTGAAATCTAACTTTCATTAACTGAAAGATGTGCTTCAGCTTATAAATAACATTCCCACCAGTCCTAAGTGGGTACTCACCTATGAATCTAAGTCCCATCAAGCGTAGGACCTAATTGACTGAGCTTCAAAACTTTGCACAGAAGTACACCAGTTTAAGTTGCCATACTCCATGCGGTACACAAATGTAGTCAACGGAGAGAGGGAAAAGGATTCAGAAGTACTATAACCAGGGCCGGTGGCACAGCGGTAGAATGCTCGCCAACCACGCATGTGATCCGGGGTTCGATCCCAGGCCGACGCACTCCTTTACCTCGCTAAGCCGGTAGTAGGGCCGGCAAAGGGAGAAGGTTGGGCATGAGGCTGGCAACCCCATCCCGTAAAAATAAACACCAGTGCTACCGAAACTCCAGGCCTCTATCTTGTAGCCCTAGGTTCCACTGGGAACGTAAAGGAATAAAAAATAATAATAAGCAGTAATGTGCAAGGAGAAAGAATAGTAACACAAACTAGCATTAGGGTTTAATAGATATGCAAGGTTGCAAACAGTAAATCACTACACCGATAATGACGCATTTTGTCAGAGTCTAATGAACAGTTGTTAAAATGTAGCACTTTTTATCACATTCCATTGACAATTAGTTGAAATTGATTGACTAATGAACTATAACTTTCACTGATGTGAAACAGCGTCACTGGTATTCGTGAGTAAAATTACTTAAGTCCGAATCGGCCACAAATTCTTGCCGGAAGTGCAGAAAGTTGAAAACGAAGCTAGTTACTAATAAACAATGGATTATTTTGATTCTTTGCGTGACAAAATATATTAGAAGAAAACTAATGGCATGTGTCTTAGCGATCATTCATGCTAGCCATACCAACTATACAAGGATTGACAGTATTATCTAACTGATCAGCCCTCGACCAATGAGACGGGTAGTGACAAAGTAGTCTGCTGGTTGAAAACCAACGTCCCAGACCGATCAGCTGCAGTTCCTCTAACTACAAACTGACGTCAGGTGAAAAACCATGGGAACTGTTCGCACGACATTTCGTGATTAACTTTTCTATTACATCGCTCATTGGCTGATTTCCGTGGTTCCCTACATACTTAACAGCCCAGTAGTACCTCGGATGTGAAGTAGAAATGCCTTAAATTAGCTCATACAATTAAGGTGTTCGAGGTGATGCAAGGGCTATTGGAGTAGGAGTGACCACTTCCTGAGGAAAATACTTGAGTTATTCACTTAATAGTATCCAATTTGTGTACATCATCCAGTTTCTCAGGTCAGCTGTGATAACAGTATCACCCCAATAAAGTTTCTGACTTCATCACTAAATGACATAATTCGAAATCTTAAAACAAACATTGTTTTGCAGACAACCTTTACTGATTAATTCCGTCTTTGAAGGTGTCAGTAACCAGAAGTTACACGGTGAGTTGATGCTATACAGCACAACTGTCATGTTGACGAATTTGTGGATTACCTGTGTTCGATGTTCCTCAGGTAGACTGGCTGAATTTTTACTTTAAAAAAAATCGAAGCAACGCCATATTCATGTGATGGGTAAGGGTCACAGGAGAAGATTTATATTTCATCTATGTATTTTCTGAAGATGAAAAACGTCTTCCGACACATAGACTCCAATGTAACTGCCTACCTTGCATAGCAGTACTTAATCACGCACATGCAGTGTACGACAGATAAGGAAAGATATCTACAAGTAATACTTACCCAAAATCCTTCGTAAAGTGGCCTTCACTTCTTCATGAGCTTTTGATTTAGAACATTCAGCAATCCCTTCTTTGAACAACTTCGGAATAATCTCACAAGTATTGAGATTTGGAAATAAAATTTCCTTATTCAACTTCTCACATTCAAAAGTAGGAAGAACAACTGAATTGAGGAGATTGATATGAATTAAAACCTACTCAAAGAATCAAAATTACTGCCAGCTAAACCCGCGATAAGGCAACGAAGAGACTTAATAGTTCTCGAAATAAAGGTTGTTCTCATACTGAAAGCTAAAGTATTTATCTTGAGACCTACTAAAATTGCGATGGTAGAAACTTTTGTGTCAAAAAAGTATGCTCTTCCATGTACTGCCTCCTGAGACGAATTCCCAGGTTATAAGCGTCTTCCTGACCACCTTTGGTTAACTCACCAACTCTATTACCACCCTAAAGAAAAATTACAATAAGCCAAAATCTTACAGGCAAGACATACAATCTGTCTAGGTAATCTGAAGTAAGTTGGACTTGCTTTTGCGTGGAAATATCAACAAGACGATAGGGGTAAACGGTATGTGGTAAGTCAGTAGATATATCTGAAGTCCACATAGCCTAGACACAATAAATACAAGATTATGACAATATATACCTCGGGAACAACGGTGGACTTCACATGGAACAAAGGTGTTCTCGCACCATGACGGAAAAAAACTTGAACTTGTACTAGTTTCATTGAGTTTTCCCTACAAGCATATCATTAGTAATGAGCAAATATTTACATCACAGAGCGCTGTAAAGGAAAACAATAATAAAACGAGAATGAATGTAGAAACAAATAACACAATTATATATAAATAAACATCTTATACTTTTCAAGTTGGGAATTTCACCGTCAACTTTCACTTCAAGTAGATGTGTTGATTATGTGAAGTAACAACTCGACAACTTTTACATTTATACAAGACAAGCTATCAGTGAGATATTTCGAAATAGCCAAAATTATACTTTCTACTGCACCGTATTTACCCAGTCGAGGGATGCGCATGGGAAAAGTGAGTAAAATGTAACATCCCACTTACCCCTATTTACCCACCTTCAGTACCATACTTTCTTCGTTTCTACCCATTTTTCTTTCTTCAAAAGAATTCATCGACTGGGTAGGGATATACTGGTAGTAACTCATATTTTCTATGATCAGGCTAGATGAGTTTTCTTGAGCCAAATTAAGGTGAATTAAAAAACCTAACAGAGTGAAATTTGACTCTCACTACCTGCTATTCTCCTCACTACATAAAGGATCTAAAGACCCAGATGCAACTTATAAGCTAAGGGAGAGTTGAAGAACACAGATGTGAGAGAAAGGGACGCACTAATAGATCTCAGATTTATTGGTTGAGTATAGAGCCTATGTTAATCCTTTTCTAGTAAATTTCTGCAGATTGCAGACACCACTTTTTCTGGGACTCGGTCCCAAGAGTTTATGACTCGCTGTAAGAACCAGTACTCGACAGCAATATAATTTTTTCTTGGCTTTTGAACTCTCCTGCTATGTCCTCAGAAGTTTTTCGAACTGGTGGGAAGGAAAAGACAGTATAGGTCAAGTCCGTAGTCATTATTTAAAATTTTAAACATTGTGATTAAATCTCCTCTCTGCCTACGGTATGACAGGGAGAAGATTTAAACCGTCTAGTCTTTCTTCGTATGACAAGCTAGTCATGCCGAGAATCATACGTGTTGCCTTCCTTTGGACCCTTTCTAGAACATGTGAGTCCCGTTTTAAGACGGACCGGCTGCCTGGATACAGTTCTCCAGTCTTGACCTCACCAGAGATGTATGTAAGGAGGTGAACATATCTCTGTTGATTCTAGTAAAGGCTCTGCGAATTGCTCATAGGGATCTGAAACTACCTGCAGCCACTGCGCGACAGTATGCTGTAGTTTTTAAATCGTGACTTACTATGATACCTAAATCTAAATGAGTCTGAACTGATGGGAGTGTTATTCCCTCTAGTTCGTAGGAGCTGATGCTTTCTTGTTCGATGCGCATGGTTGTACATTTTGCTACATTGATCCGGAGCATCCATTCTCTGGATCACTCTGACAATTTGTTAGGGTCCTTTTGCAACGTGAGCGTATTACTGTTTCCCTTCAGCTCTCTCCAAATTTTTAAGTCATCTGCGTATAGCACCATAGAGGATCGTTGAGTAGAGATAACTCGTTGATATACAAAATAAATAGGGGAAGTCCGAGTGCCGTGCCTTGTGGCACTCCACTACGCACTGCTGTCCAAGAGGAGAGTTTCGAGTTCATCCTGACCCTCTGCCTTCTATCTATGAGGAATTCCCTGAACCAGTTTAGTAACCTGCCTTTGATTCCAAGACTTTCCAACTCCATGAGTAGTCTTTTGTGAGGAACTTTATCGAAGGCTTTGCTGAAGTCTATGAAGACGACGCCAACGCGTCTTCTATTGTCTCTTGATTTGACCCAACTTTCTCTTGCAGTGAAATTTGATAGGCATGAGAGGTTTCCTCGGAAGCCATGCTGTGCTATGGATAACAAATTGTTGTTTTCCAGATATGCCACGATACTCTTCTTGATTATTCTTTCCAGTGTCTTGATTAAAGTGCTGGTAAGACTAATAGGCCTGTAATATGAAGGGCTTTTTCTTGATCCTCCTTTGTGGATGGGGGTTACTTAACGTCTTTCCAGTCACGCAGTAACACTCCATTTAGGAGAGGTGGCTTGAAGATCATGGTCAATGGACCGGCTATGTGAGCTGATAGCTCCTTGAGAAGCCTTGGATGATGATTATCAGGACCCATTGATTTCCCTACATCTAGTTTCATTAGAAAGTTGAGCACGATTTCTTGGTCGACGTCAACAGAATCTATCCCGTGTTCCTCTGGTGCGGCTAGAGCTGATCCTATTGGGAGTAACGACTTTTGTGTAAGGACTTGGGAGAAGTAGTCTGCCATTGCTCCTGCTTTTTCGTGATCTTCATCGATCGTATCATTGTTAAGTCAGGTTCGGGACACCATTGGACATTTTATTCCTGAAGTTCATGTACGAGAAAATTTTCTCAGGTTGTGCCTTTGCACTTTGAGCCAGATGTGCCTCGAACTTTATCCTTGATTGGTGGATTTCTGCAGTAGCTTTTTTCCTAGCTGTGTTGTATAATTTCCTGGTTTCACGAGTCTAACGTGCGAGAAACAGGTTCCAACAATTGTGTTTACGTCTGAGCAACTTAAGAATCGCTCGGTTTATCCAAGGGGGCAATATTTCCGACCATGTGGGACAGACCAAGGGATGAAAGGTTCGGTTACTTGGGCATAAAGTTGTTTAAATTGGTTCCATGAGGCTTTTACTTGGGACTCTGGGTTGATGTACCAGTTCAGAGTTGGCTGTTGAGACGAACGCATTTATACCAGCTTTCCAAACGTTTGGTTGAGCTGGGGATTTGGTCCACGATGCTGTTGCTGTGAACTTGAAAGTGAGCACAACGTGATCACTTCTTCCTAAAGTAGGAAGATACGTGAGATTCACATCTTCACCATGGGAGAACACTAGGTCCAGAGTTGAAGAGGAGTGCTGTGAGTCACAGCGCGTGGGCTTAATGACATGTTCGGATAGGGCTAGCGAAGTGCTAGATTCCAGCAGTTTATGATCGGAGTTGTCTGAAGATGGCGTTGTAAGGCTTGTTCAGTCAACTTTTGGGGCGTGGAAATCGCTGACTACGAGACTTCGACATTTCGATGTCCAGGAGCCTAGCTTCTCTATTAGGAAGTCATCTGCACTGCAGTCAGGACTGCGGTATACAGCAATGAGGTCAATATCTTGGCCTATGCATTTAACTCTGCAGCGTAGAAGTTCGCACGATTCACTTTCATGAGCGTGTGCTTTGATGCTACGCACGGTTAAGCATTTCTTGAGGTAGATGACTACGCCACCTCCTTTGCGGCTTACTCGGTCCACCCTATGCACTTCGAAGTTTGGCAGGTTAACTTCGTTATCAGTGACATCGGCTGTGAGCCAAGTCCCTGTGATGATAATTACATCCGGATTTCAGGAGTCTATCATATTACCCAGCTCAGTCCGTTTGTTCAACAGGCTGTGGGCGTTTGTGTAGCAAACCGTCTGCTCATTTTGGTGATTTCGTGGTTTCGGGATCATCGAACTTCGACAACCCGAAAACCCTTCATCTCAAGGTCTTTTTCACCGTTTCGGCGTCGTTCGCTTAATTCTAGGGCCTCAAAACGTCTTTTGAAACGGTCTGCTAGGCATAAGTTGGCACGGACGTATACTCCTGATCCTTTAAAATTTTGAGAGTTGCTTAGAGTGGCATCCCTCTCTTCTTTGGAGTTTAGTACAACTTTGAGGAGGCGTACAGGCTGATCTACTGTAGGGTCAGGCTTTTGGCCGATTCTATATATGCTGCGTATAGTTATGCCTGGCACTGTTTTTGGCAGTAGCTTACCTAAAAGGGGCTTGACCAAGTTAAGGTCATGCTTGAACCTGACTTTGGGATCGTAGGCCAGTGCTTCTTCCACTTTGCGGAGAATCAGCAACCTGTCAGGGAGATCAGGTTTGCTTGCCGTGGCTTTCACGCTCTGCAGCGCGAACTTCTTTCAGTCCTTCGTTGGCAGTGTGGCCAAAATGCTGCCCTTATCTCGCTTTCTGCGAAAGACTACACTACATCATTCATTGGCGTCCTCCTCGTTAATCGTAGTCGATTTTATCTGCTTGCTATCCACTGGTGTTGACAGGGCTTGATCTACAAACCCCAGAGCGCCTTGAATTGCGGGCTTTCGACCCCTGGTACGCCTCTTCTTCGTTTCAGTCTTTCCATTACTGTCACTGGAGGATTTCTCCGGTATCGTAGGGGCATCATGGGTGTCTGGAATAAGGTGGGTACTCTTCTCTACTGGAGGGCACTCACTCCCTGACAGAGACGCATCAAGAACGTGTATAGTTTCATCGATGACGCTAGTCACGTCATTGGTGTTTGAGCAGTAGTTGCTATTCTCCTGAGGTGCAAGACCCTTGCAGTTCAGCTCTAGAGCCCCAATGAGAGTGGCACTGGCTTCCGCTATATGAAAATTAGTCGTACTATAGCAGTCATTGCACAGCCAGTTCACCCGAGGTTTGCGGCAGCGTTTGTATGCTGCAGGAGTTAGGTTTCTGCACATACTATGAAACCCTCTCTTGCAGTTATCACACTGCATTCATTCCTCAACTGGAAATTGGCACGTAACACTTCCACAGCGATTCCTTTTGATAGGCATGTTTTTCAGAGCGAATTTGGGCAAAAGGATTTGAATATGACTTCATATATATGACCGTTACGATTCAGTGGTAAAAAGAAACTAATGAGTGCACAAAAATGGACATATATAACTATTAAGTTATAAAAATACAACTTCCATAAATTAAATGGACTCAAGAGTGAAACGTAAACTAACTTCGATCAGAATAAACTGATTTGAAGTTAATCTATGGACTTTTGTAGCGTATAACACAACAAAAGCCAAAATTAAACAATACAGTGTAAAATTCACTCCCTTTTCAAAGTTCGCGCGGTAGCAATTCGCTATTCGTTAACCTGGATAATGTGATCAAGAATCTTGTTTACGGAAGTATTATTGGCATAAAAACCACAGTGACAACAAACTTCGGTTTAAACTAACATTCAGCTCATGAGAATAGATTACGAAAAGACAGAGTAGTGTTGACCTTG